AAGTTTGAATCTTTTTGTGCTTTTCAGTTTTGCGTTGCCTCAATAAACCTTCTTTCGCATCTTCGAGCTAACTGAAGGCCCTTACTCTTCAGAAAATGTGGAAATTTGGAAATTTACTATTTGCGTTAAAATGTATCGAATGACCATATTTCGAGTGAATCTCGAACAACTTTCATTGAGGCAGTGCAAAATAGAAACACAAAAGGAATTGAACCTACACCTGTATCAAGCTATGAGGCTATCACACTAATCACTAGACAATAACATGGCGCCGGTAGAGACCGTTCTGGTGACCATACCCTTGGGCATATAAAGTTGGCTGGAAATTCCTCCATAACTTCCTTCAGAGAAACGATTAGCAGAAACGAAAGTCAGATTCGGAATTAGCGTTCGAAGGCGAGTGTAATGGTATACATCTCGTCTCAAAAGGCCACGGACATTGAGTATCGTTCCCTTGTGAGAGAAAGTACCTCAAACTTGAGTAATTAAACCAACGGTGACATTTTTACCATACGAGTCTTATTTGTGCTCGACGTACGCCCGAAAATGCATAAAACGAGTCCGAGCGCTTGCTAAAAGTTTGGTTAGCGCTCGCTGAAAGAAATTATTTGCCGAGCGCTTGCAAAAAATGCTGTATTGCTGCCGCTGGCAAAATATGCGACCGTAAAGGAAGTGCCGCCCGCTGAAGGTTTGGCCACGCTTCAAAATTTTGCTGACCGCCTGCGGAAAAGCGCGAGTTTGCGGACCGCCTGCCCCCGGCGATTATCTGAGCTGTTGTTCCATTAGAAATCCGATAAAAAAGGCTGTTTCTTCATTGCAATCATCAAATCATCACTTACACCCAAGGTCAAGTGTGGCAATGTAATCCGAGACCCCTTTTACGACCCCCTCCTCCCCCCCTCTCTCCCCCGCCCCCGTCACCCATCCCCCCCCCCACCACTCCCTTTAAGGTAGTCTGCATAAACGAGTGTCAGTCTCAAAAAATGTCTGCCAATTGACCTCACTCAAATAAACCAGAGAAAAATAACAACTTACGAATTAGAAAATACTGCGTGATCAGGGCTCGGCATGAGGTGGCTTTTTCAATTTTGCAAAAACGAAGTCCCCGCCGATTTCGCTACACAAATACGACATCACCTGTGACGCGATCAGGAATGGATCAATCACAAATAACAAAAAATAATGAAACGAAACTCAAATGCAGCATGAGCAAACAAAAATGATCTAAAGAATTTCGTATTCTCCGAATTGGCGGCATGCTGTGTCCGGCGCGCACCGTTGCGCGCTTGGAGCAGGCTTGCCTCCGCCGTACAAAATATTTAAAGGGCTGTAACTAGGCGAGGAGGAGGGGATTTGAGGAGATTCAAAAACTTATTTATAGGGTTTTTGATGTACAACAAAGATATGCTGAACATGTGAAAAAATTATGTGAAGGGAGGGAAATTTATGACTTTTTCTTTTTACAGCCACCTCAGGTGGCTGTCCAGGTGGCTGTAAAGCCACCTAACTCCGAAAAAAGTTTGCCGCGACTTTAAATCACATAACTTTTTCATGATTTTTTGCACATAGTACTAGTCCCCCATTACCCATCTACACACCCATTTTGGTTCCATTTCATTTTCACTTCGCTGTAAACAAGCCCTTTGTTTGTTTAAGAGACCATGCTGCCGGCATGCCGGCAGCAGATCGCAAGACAGCGGCATTCTCTTCCGCAAAAACGATATCTCTTTTGCTTTTTACCTCCAAAACGATATCCAGCTTGCCCGGTAAGCCACCTGTGCCGAGCCCTGTGCGTGATGCTTCACCACTCAAAAACCTCATAAATAATTCGGCTCAAATCGGGTAAGGGGTAAAATAACAACCAAGAAAAACTCAGCAATTCACCTCAGCCATTATAGTTGATTATTTTACAACAACTCATTTACTAGTGACAGATAATAAATTCTTTTTCCATTTATAATGTTGGGCATCATTCATTCATGTTTCAGTGGTACCGAATGATATTGACTATGATTCTGGAAAATAGAACGTTTTAGACTATAATGGCAGTCTTGTGTTCTATCTTCCTTACCGACACTAGTCTTTACAGGGAGGAAAAACGATGTTTTAAAGCGTTAGAAGTGTTTTCGACAGAAAGTTCACGTCCTACCTTTTTCACTGATTTTCCTATGAAAAAAAAAACCGTTTCAGCACCATCCGGAACGATGTCAAAAACGTGCATGAACGGTATTTTGAAAATTCGTAACTAAGGTCAGGGGAAGACTGAGAGGCTGCAATGAACCAACAGGCCGTACAGTTTAGTGCTAATCATTGAAAAAGTTTCAGACATCGAGGAGGCAGTGAGCTCGAAAAAATTTAGATGCGACTCACGCAAATTTACATGTGATCTTAAAAAGTAAAAACTGGGATTTTCAAACTTGAAATTTTGTAAATCACCGGAGAAGTTATGCAACAGCCCCAAATTTTTAGGATAGAAAGTAATGGTATCGTATTGCAGCAAGCAGCACACAAGCTTCTATAGCTCCGGAGAGAATTAGATGCAGCCCCTCCTTTTCTCATTTTTTGCTATCACACATAAAATCGTGAGAAAATCCGTAGTTAACAAAATAGAACCAGATTTTGCTTAAGCATAGTAGGATTTCTTCATTCAAAGTGCAGGTAAATCGCATTGGCCCGTTGGAAAACTTTACAATCTGAAAATTGTTGTTGGTTATCATTGGTAAAGATATTTCTTTTGTCGAGTTGAGACTTCAGCGAGGTTTCGAAAGCAGCATTTCTAGGCCAATCGGTACATTTATCGAAGTATGCATCCTTTAAAAGTGTTTGAGCCAAAAAATACGACTTTTCCTATGACACGCTCACGCATGAATCAAACACGAAAAACAAAGATAGAAGATATAACCAAAACAATATGAAACAGACGACAAAGAAAATAAACAGACGATGAAGAAAGTCAGTGATGTTTGACTTCTCGGAAGTAGCGGATCCTATGTATGGCATGCAATACCGTGCCTTGCTGCTGCATTGCCGCAGTAAATTGAAATTTTGGAGGTTACTGGGAAAGGGTTTGAAAAGTTTAAACAATTAAGTGATTATGGGGTTCTAGATCTGGACTGAAGTCATGCAAAAAGTGTAAACAATTTGTGTGAAGAGAAAAAAATACATGAATTATTTATTTCTGAAAAACCTCAGGTGGCGGTGGCTTTCCCTGCACCCAATTAATTCCGAGAAGTTTACCACCCTTCCATTTTTTCTTTTTCCTACTTTTCATCATACAAAGTTCCATTCCAACTCCTTGTTGCGCATCTACACGTCGACTTCGGTGTCAGTTCCTTTCCTGTTTGGCTTAAATAAGTCTTTTGTTTAGTTCACATTTTTTTCAAATTTTTGCGCATGAACGAAAAGCATATTGGAGTTGAAGATTGTTGGTTGCAGAACGAAACTAGTGTGGCAGTAAGGAGCATTTAGAATGTTTTCCGAATATATAGGTTGTCCCGAAAGTTCGTTCGCACTATTTTCAAAAAATTATAACTTCTGATTTTTCCAACCGATTTGACTGCTTTTATTTTTGTGTAAAAGTGTAAGTCGTGCTCTTTATAATGGCTTCTTAGCATATTCTATTGATCATCTGTTGCGTAGATAGGAGCGGTAGAAGAAAATTGGTCAAAATTCGAATTTTTCGTGTACGGTCATAAAAAATCGGCTTGCAACAAAAATCGGAGCAGTCGGTATTAAAGGTTCTGTTACCTGCTCTTTCTAACTTTGCAAAGTTTGCGCCGATTGAGCGTTTCTATGAAAAGTTATGATTTTCGAACAAGCAAAGGAAAAGGGCGAATTTGATTTATTGTGGCTTAGGAAAATCGTAACTTTTTATAGAGACGCTCAATCGGCGCAAACTTTGCACTTTAGAAAGAGCTGGTGAAAGAACCTACAATTCCGACTGCTCCAATTTTTGTTGCAAGTATCCGATTTTTTATGACCCTACACAGAAAATTCGAATTTTGACTAATTTTCTTCTACCGCTCCTATCTACGCAATAGATGATCATTAGTAAGACGCTAAGATGTCAATAAAACATGACTGCTTTTTCGTACAGAAATGAAAGCAGCCAAATCGGTTGGAAAGAATAGAAGTCGAATTTTGAGTTTGGTGCGAAAGAACGTTCGGGACAACCTAATAAGTATTGGAACAAAAGAGTGGAGTTGATGTAGAGTTGGGGCCAATTATGTGTGTGTGAATTAGACCGATAGCGATGAGTGTTTTATTTGTGGGGGCTGCACAAAAATTCGTTGGGTTGTTGCGTCAACTTGGCCTACTCGCAGTGATTAAATGATTACTTATATGAAATTTCAGATTTACTTCAATTACGACAGATTTAGCACGAAGCGATTCGAAATTTTGGTATACACCTGATATGTGACCTTTCCTATGGTCTCCGTCCAAACCTCGCAAAGAAAACATCCTCTCTGCTTTTAATCTTCAAAACCATACACAGTTTGCTCTGTAAGCCACCTGTGCCGAGCTCTGCGTTGATATTAACCTGACTTACAAGTGACCTATCTCAGACAGCGGATAGGACCCCTCCGCCAGAGAAATGGCAGGGCCGCGGGGTTTCCCCAGCGGTGGGTCTGCCACTCGTCCGCCGGAGCCCTCCCATTTCTGCTCCGGAGCCCTCCCATTTTGTGCGCCGGAGCCCCCCGATTTAGAGACAAAATTGGGGTTTGGAGCTTAATTGGGGCTAATTACAGTATGCCGCGGCAAGTCTGCCGCGGCATACTGTAATTAGCCCTAATTAAGCTCCAAACCCCAATTTTGTCTCTAAACCCCACCCAAATTAGCCGAATAGGACCCCCCCCCCCCCCCGGGTAGGAGTTCAGGGCGACCCTCACCCCGTACTCTACCCCCTCCCTCTCACCCCTAGCGTTTGTGGATAGAGGATAGAAGAAAGAACGAAGAGATAAGACATTTATTTCAAATTTTTCAAACTTCTTCTAAAAATCATCTTATATCGTTAATCATTTCACACCCACTGGTGTAACGAAGAATGAACCTTTCCAACCAAACAACGGTTTGTGGAACAGTTTAAATTGCAGTCGCAGTTGGCCCATATTATCGGCGATTCTTAAAAACGATAGATGATTGATTTGCGACGTTTCACATAGGCGAATGAGAATCGGTAGAAAAACATGAAAACCGTACCGAAATGAGTCAGACATTGTCGTCAGCCAGTTGACAAATTCACCGCTAGCATAAGTGATTACACCTTGGCCAAACTGGTGCCGACCGTCCTCACAGAAATTCAATATCCCACATATCTGCAAAACGAAAACCTAGTGATCTAAAATAACACAGGTAAGAGAATATACAAATATTTGGTAATAGCACACAGAACAAACTGAAAACATTAACCAGTCATGCAGCGTTGACATAAGTAGCCGCTGGGATAAGTACCCAAACAAGGGTAGTAACAAGATGATTTGGTATGGAGCGCTCACAACCGGACATTTCGCCTATGCAAACTTCGACGTTTGCAATAAAAACAGCTAGGACAGGTTGTTAGAAATAGTGCCTCGCCATAAGCATAGTCTATTTGCAAAATTTTTATAATCACTCAATCCTCTAAGGCTAATGAGAGTGTGCAAAGATAATCAGTGAACACCGATGACAGCTAGACAAGCGACTGGTATAAATGAAGGGGATAGCACCACAATGAAAGCAAAGTGTAAAAGAAGAATAGAAATCAAAATCTACCGTATTCGTGGTCAGTAGCGTCTCTTCATTCAAATGTACAATCCAATCATTATTCTGAACAAAAAGATCGAGAACTGAACTTCGGTTTCGTGTACAATATACATACCTGAAGGATATTGGCATCGTCTTCAAGACAATATTGTAAAGCACGAGCCTTGAATTTTGCACCGCTCTTCGTTCTAGAAAGAGCAGTCATCATCAAACACAAAGAACGAAATGAAATAAAAAAAAGACAAAGTTAGAAGTGGTAAAAACCGTATGATCCACAATAATCTACCGATAAGATGTTGGCACTACAACTTTTCGTACTCGTGGTTGAGGCGGTAGGTGAATAGCGTTATCTGCGACTACCTAAAATTGAAAAGAGTGAATTTTTTTCTCAAGCCACTAAAGGAAATGGTATGAATGGAAACAAACGCACTTCAAAAATAAAATTCTCCATTCCCGCATCGTAACATGTCTTCATATTAGTTGCTATATTTTCCTGGAAAACTGTATGTTAGCTTTGTAACACAAAAGTTGCCATTTAATCCCTAAAATCTCATCAAAATTGCTGAATTGCTCTCCAATGTTCTCAAAATGCAATCGACGTGCGTCCGAAATGCTTCTCGAGCTCGTGAGTTCAGAAAAAGGAGCAAAGTAAACATAGGAATGTTGAACAACGAATAATCAATGAAAATGGTGGTAATCGAACATCCGCAAGTTTCGCACAACATTCGCTTAAAGCATGATTCCATCAAGGACTCAAGATGTACATTATAAAAAAATCGGGATGAAACTGGAAGCATGTCAAAAAACTCTTGCAGAGCTTTGAGCAAATTCTTCTGTTCTACGATTACTGAGACCAACAATTTATTTCATCTTTTCAGCACAACGGATTGAAAGGACTGCTCGGGCAAGGATAAAATATCACGTTAATGGTATGATGCGATATCTACGGTTATGTCTCCATCTCTAACACCCCCCCCCCTCCACCTTCCAGCGCTGAGATCTTACGTCACCAGTAGGCTTCACGCATATGGACATCTGCCACAAATCAAGCGTCACAGCATTACTAAAGCCTGTACCAGTTGCTAGCGCAAACACCATCGGTAGCACAGTTTCCTTTACCCTCTCATAACGATGTAGAAAACAGCCACTAGCATGGTGGAACGCGGCTGGCACAATTCCATAAACATAACATCAGGGGAACACCTGATGTTACTGATATGATACTGATAGCTGGTTCCAGCGTATGTCTCTCGACTATAATTCAATGTATAAAAGCGAGACAACTGAAAATAAGGATTGACAAAAAAAGGATTAAAATCAAAGTGACGCCTAACCTTTCGAATGGACTTGACGTAATAGGTATTTGAGGTTCAGTAAAAACTCCGCAAAAATGGGCAAATCCTAAGATCCACATAAGCAATGCTGCACAATGCAATGTATGCTTCGCTTCACAGTTCATTACCTCTGCCCTGAAAACAAAATATGGTATGTAAAAAACAGTCATATTGATAATCCGCGGAAAACCGCATGATAATCCCACATAGACACGCGAGATGCGAAACACGCAAACGGCAAAGTGATTCATTGGTGCAGATAGCAATAAACGGATTATTTAGACGATACTTTCATCACAACAACACTAGATAGTCTAGATTAGCGCGCATTTAAGAACGTCTCAGAATTTCACAGCGTGGCTACGCGCCAAATCGATACGCAGCCTGCTCCGGAGCCCTTCCATTTGTGCTCCGGGGCCCTCCCATTTCTGCTCCGGAGACCTCCCATTTCTGCTTCGGAGCCCTCCCATTTTCTGCTCCGGAGACCTCCCATTTTCTGCTCCGGATACCTCCCATTTTCTGCTCCGGAGACCTCCCATTTGTGCTCCGGACCCCTCCGATTTTCTGCGGCGCGGCTCTTCCAAATCTGGCGGACTCGCGTCGGGCAAATTTCTCCGGCGCGGCTCTGCCAAATCTGGCGTACCTCCGGAGCAGAAATGGCGTACCTTTGCAGCAGGGCCGGAGAAGCGTCCCACTTGCCTGCCAGTGATGTCACCGCGACCTACAGGAAGGGACCGCCCATTTGCCCCGCTCTCATTGGTCAACTGGGTCCGGCGCGACTCTGGCAGATTCCGACCGTCCGGCGGAGAGGTCCGGTCGATTGTCTGAGATGCCCGTGCTCCAACATAAAGATCTTTTTGGAACAAGTTCAGTTAACTCTACTATGCAAAGCTTCCATATCCAAGACAGCTTGCAGCCAAAGACGTCAGCAATTGACTTGTTTTTTCTCCGATGACATTGTTTGCAACGTAGGGTGCTCATCTCCTTTTCACTTTGCCGAAAACAACATAGTAAGGATTTTGGCTGCCTTTGACCCAATCAGATATATTCTAACCATATCACGTTTTCTTGAAGTTGATTATTCCGTCCATCAAAAACGCTCTCTTAAGCGTCAATGAGTACGATACCTTCGAATAGCATACATCAAAGTATAGACAAGCCAATGCTGTTTCCAGCTTTCGTCCTATCAGTATCACCCCTCTGACATCTTTGGATGTATTGTCGAAGAAATGTTTGAATTTTATATATAAAGCTGAATGTCTGTTTGTTTGTGTGTATGTGTGTGTCTTTACGTATTTTCCGAACAGAAATTTTTATTTCTGAACCGATTCGGACCAAACTTGGCACACATACACTTCGGGATGGGGAGCGTGTCTAGGCTACTTTTCAATTGTCGTCAATTGATATCAATTTCATCGATTTTTTTGCAAAGTTTGAGCTACAATTGGGAGTTGGCATAGGTGGGTAATTCGAGCATGATGATTACGATTACAATATTAGTTTTTTAATGTCCGTTGCTTTTATCGATTTTATCGAATTTTTTGCAAAGTTTGAGCTAAAGGGCTGGGAGTTGGCACAGGGGGTAGTCGAGGATGCTGATTACGAATTCAATATTAGTTTCTGGAAATATCCATTACTTTTATTGATTTTATCATTTTTTTTCAAAATTTGAGCTGAAGGGCTGGGAGCTGGCACAGGGGGTAAGAAGGCGCGCTGATTTCGAAAACAACACAGAGAACGAAAAAAAGAAGTATGGAATGGGCACAGGGAAAGGCTGTACAGGGATAGGGATGGGACCTTTATTATAGTGTTTTGACAGGGCCGAGCAAAGCCAGGGGAGCAAGCTAGTTTTGAATAAAAACAAAATTATCCCATCCGATCAACAAAATTTCGTTTTAGTAAGTTCTGCAACTGCTCTTCTTTTGATGCCGTATGCGATTAGTGCCTTAAGAGAAGCTATGATAGTCGAATATCAAATTTTTCGATTTCCAAAAGCGTTAAACAGTTTTACCATTCAAACCTACTTTGAAATTCGCTAAACACGAAATTTGCTTGGATGCTCTCCAAAATCTTTGCGAAGAGGTAATTCCGAGTAAAGAAATCCCTGCAAAAAAGTTTTTACGAGGCTCTTTTGCGGTACGCCACTGATTGAGGGACAGGGCATTGCGCCTAGGCAACGCTTTCTCAACAAATATAGTGAGTGATTAAAGAGTACTACAAAGAAGCCTGCAGTCATCTTTTCCTTTTCTTGCGTACACTCAAAACTACTAAGCGCTCTTGAAGATACAAATACACATATATCGCTATAAAGATAAAATGAGCCCAAGCAGCTTTCACGGGGTTGAGATTTTTTTTGTTCCAAAGAATGGTTCCTGTCAACGATCAAAAGTTGAAATGCTTACATTTGAACGGATTCAGTCCTGTGAGCGAAGGGTACTTTTCCGTTATCCGGACCCATCTTTTCAAATGCTCTCATATTATACTTTCTTTGGTCTAAGAATAATTTTTTATAGATTTCGAGGACTGCCTCCTTGCCACGTGTCACGAAAAAATTGACATGTTTTGGTCCATTTTGACACTTTTTTTTCGAGGACTGCCTCCTTGCCACGTGTCACGAAAAAATTGACATGTTTTGGTCCATTTTGACACTTTTTTTTCGAAATCATTTCTGGTGAGATAAAAGAGAGTTTGTGATCATGTTGAAGCTGTTTAGCTGTCTTTTAAAACATCTTGTTTATTTTCAGCAGTGATTCAAGAATATATTTCTAATGAAACCCTTTTCGCCATGCAAATTCAGCCAAAAAGATTATAAACGATAGCTTGAAATACCTTGCTGCTGCTTAATTCGCCTCTTAGATGGCGGAATTCTAGCGCACTTCTCTATCCTGAGCAAGTCTTATCTGTTCATCGATGATAAGTATGTCGTCATTATCATAACAATGTTCACTTTAAAACTGGATCAAATAAGGTCAAAATTGACTTTAAAAAATATTGAACTTACATCGCTAGTTAGGGTAACACAAAGTCTTGGTAAAACCTGTTAAACATGTAGATGACATGTCAATTTTTTTGACATGTGGCCAATTGACACTCTTTACTGTGCAGTGGGACAAAATATAGTACAAGGATAGAAGCGATATCATCCTTTGAAAAAGTGGGTACGGTTAACGGAAAAGTACAGAGTGAAGTTACTTGCTGTGGAAGTCAGTCGTCTGCCGATCACCATCAAACGTTGGCGTCGTACAGATTGAGGTTGACCGCTTTGAACGCAGCTTGAAATAGAGTATGGAACAAATAATTTCCTTATTTTTGAATTAAGACTAGAATCTATGCTAAAAACTAGAACCTATGCTAAAACCAAGCAAATTCTGACTATACGAACCTTGCAAAATTCGCACAGGTGGATTTGGTCGGTACATAGAATAGGAATAATTTACTTGCTATAATTTGTCCAATTGTATATTGAGCTGCAAGATGGCTTAGTCTCCCCATTGATATAATTTACGCCGCCTCAACTCAGGAAAAATATTAGCGTTACTAATGCTGTTGAGGGTTTCAAAATTCCAAATGTTCAGTACCAGACACTCATAACTTTTCGTATACGACATCCGAAAAATTGTGACGATGGCGCGACTGCATTTTCTTAGAATTTTATCTCTATTCAAGTGGTTTTTTTTTTGCTTACATATGGTACTGCTTAGGCATTGGAAGTGACTGAGAGTTGAGTTGATACATTTTTGTATTTGTGCTTTGTGTTTGTTTGTTTGTGTTTTGTGTTCGAGTTTTTGGGCTTATGCGGACGCAAAGACCGCAGTTAAATCCATCGTCACGATTTTATAAATGACCTATATCTAGTTGTACATTCAGCATCTTGATTTTGGTTTATTTTCCATCTTTTGCAAAGAAAAAAACTAAATTCTCGTCTTTCAATAAGCGTCATCATAACGATAGTCAGATTTTGAAAAGACAATCTCGTAACAGTTCATAGCAATGCCAATGCCATTAGGATGGGTTCTGCTTGCGGCCTCAAGTGTGATCTCGTTTGCAGATGAACCCATTTGGTATAGGAAGCCTTTCATGAGCGCATGTGGTCAAATTTGCTAATACTACATGCTCATATTGAATATTGAGCCATGTATGTCGAGTCCATCTGAAAATATATTCTCTTAAATAAAACCTAATGATTGGTGTATTGCGTTTCGCACAATGACTGCTATGGATTTTCAATTAATATGATAATATAGGAAACCTTGCTGTAGAAGCTCAGCGCAGAATCGTGATGGTCTTGATCGTGTTTAATGCTTTTTATCTACACTTTCAGTATCCTTCCGACAAGCGAAGAGAGTCTGGGTGGGAAATTTTGGAGCAAATGCACGATTTTTGAAACCAACAGATTTCAAAAAACAAAGGCGACGAAGAGGTAAGAGTATGTAACGCCTTTCGTAGACGCCTTGAATCGTATAAAAAACTCCCCTTAAGGCAAAAACGAGAACCCACTTTCTTTTATAAATAGCGTTTATAAGCTACAATACCACTCACAGAATATGCAAAATTTACGTGAATGTAGCGGAATTTCGGGTATCCCGCGAAAGCTTACGACATTCCCTAGAATTTTGTATTTTCCATCTTTAGCCGCAAACTTTCCCAAAGGAAATATTAGGTTGACGCAAAAGGAATGGCCGATCTGCGAGTTCTCACTTTGACGTACTATAACTTTCTAAAAGATCCACACTTTTGAATGCGATAAAGACCCTCAGAAGCAACAAACCTTTCGCAATACAGCGCATACTCATTTATACTCACTTCATAAACGGGGAGAGAAATACGGACTAAAAGACAAAAAGGTCCTTCTGCTACAACCTTGTTTTTGACAATTCATAACCTCCTTCAAAGTTTGTTTGTGTGAGTGACAAGTGGCCTTTCTTGTAGCCGCAAGCCAGTAATACAAAATACAATAAAAAGAATTCGGACAAAAAAGTTCGCGAGAAAGAAAAAAATTGAGATTTAAAATTTCTCGATTTTTCAACATTTTTTCAGTGTGCCTCAAAGGAATATAGAATTTTCTGATTTTCTACGTACTGAACAGCTGGATGTTTTTGCAAAGACTGCTAATAAATGTCGTAGCCCTACGCTTACAGTATTAAGCAAAGCTTCGGCGACTGACTTCCTCAGAAGAAAATTATGGGTCATAAAATGACCGCAGCAGCTATCCATGTTTAGGTGCCGATATCTCAGTCTGGATAACTTCAAAGAATGCAGTTAAGTATGCATAATGTAGACAATTTCTATTACATACAATAGCTAAATTTTCGAAGAAATCCCATTGATAGGCGCTTGAATTCTGGCCAGAAAAGTGAATGCAATGAAATTCTGAATTTGGATGCGGTTATTTGAAACTCAGTAACTTTATAAGAGATGAGGATGAGAGCCCGTTTCAAGCACCGTTAGATAGAGCATGAAAACAGTTTCGCGGTGGTATACTACTCTATTCGTAACGAAGAAGTATTAATGGAAAAAAGTTGCCTTGAAAAAAGGCTTGGAAAATCGGCCATTTCTTTTGCATCAACCTAATAGAAGGGCTGGTGTATTTTGGAAAAAATAATGTCGTTCTAAATTTTTGTCACAACCCAAACTATGAAGCTATATTGCTAAGCAGATGTGTTTTTCGTAATCAGCAGGTCTGATAACCTCTACGAGCAAGTTTTCCATAATGTTCGGGTTGTTTCGTTTCTTTGTTTTACTACGCTCTGACCGCCCATGGATTTTGGTCAAAATGTTGATTGGATTGTAAGGAAACTTTGCTTATAGAGGTTCTTTTTTTCTGAAAGAACTCGAAGGCCAATTGATTAAGGTAGGCAGTGGGCTGTTTAGGGAGTCGCCGGGTAGGCGGTCATGCGATTTATCGGCATGGGGGCAGGGAAAGATAGTTCGCTGGTTTCTTGTAGTCCGCTCGCAGATACTTGGAAGAGTGCTAACCACTTTCTAACGAACGCTCGCTGGTTTTACATAAATAAGTTGCGGCGCAGTAGTCGCATTCTCGTGAATCTTCCGCGAGAATGTGCAAATTTGTTTAGTCCACACGGTCCTTTGCGAAGGACCCCGTAGGTTTCTTCCGCTGAAAGTATCACAAACTTGGTTAATTGATCAACAATAACACCTTTGCCATAAAAAGTACCTTTGCTTGGCGTACCTCCGAAACTGCGTAACAAGGGTACGCTGAAAAAAAATTATTTGACGAGTGCTCGCAAAAAATTCTGTATTGATGCCCGCCGGTTAAATATGAGACAGTGAAGGAAGTGTTGCTCGCTTAGAACTAAGCCACTCCCCAAAATTTAACTGACCGTGCAGAAAAGAGCGAGATTGCGGTCCGCTTGCCCCCGGCGATTATCTGAATGGGTGTCTCAAAAATGTATTGAACGTTCGATCTAATAACTCCCTTGTATGGGCACGTGATCATTTTGACAATATAATGTAACGCTTCAAATTTAGACTCACATCATATAGCGAACCACTTATCACTTTTTCCTATTGCAGTAGGGATTTTGAGAAGGTTCGAGCATAGCCCTATTTTGTCACCGAAGGCAAACCAGGCAACCGGAGGACCCTTACACTAGAGTTCGGTGAATCTGAATATGAAGTTCACAGTTCACTGCATTGCTTTTCTCATAAGTTAATCCGATACATCACACAGCTACATTCCTAACGCTTTTTGATAATACGATTGTGTTGCTTAGAGACCTTCAAAAAATCTAAAAAATCAAGAAATAATACTAGCATACCAAACATTGGTACACAATGTCCCTTTTCAATTTTTTTTAAAAGACGACTTTTTCAACTGCTCTCTGCTAACAGTCCTACCGTGATCTTATGGCTGAAAAACGTTCGCTGCGTTTGCGTTGCTCCATGCTCCAACGTTTGCTCCATCTTGCAAATCTAAGCTCAAAGCTAAACATAAGGTGTTCGAATAGTCACGAAAGCTTCCCATAGAGTCCAATTATCGAGGATCAAACGTTCGAGACATTTTTTGGGAACCCCCTATTTAGAATGCTACCAACTTATATTGGCGGCTCAGCGTGTAGTATGTCGAGTGCCTTTCACACAGATGTCGATACAGCTTTATATGGTTGAGGCGAGAAGAACGAACATTTTTCAAAATGGGAGCTAAGGATACAAAGAGATTACATAGAGTACATAGGATAGAGTTTTATGAATTAACAACACAATATTACAAACACATTTCCACTCTACATAAATATGCATCGGCTAGAATCTCTTCTAATCGCGATCCGCTATACTAACAATGAAAATAAAATCTTTAAGATGAAGCCAAGCTGTGACAATATGGGGCAAGTTTTGAATAGGGCGAACGATCTCTCATAGTCACGAATTTATGTGCAAATTTTTTTTACAAGCCTACCATAAGGGATGCCTCGATGCGTTATTAGTTTACAGCTAACAATAAGTTTTGTGAAAGTAAGTTCCAGATACATTTTTGCAAAGTTTTCGAAGAGAGCAGCAATTCGTGGTACTTACAAAAATCGTAAGATTGATACGATGCCATATCAAGACCTTATAATAACGGGCTAAGGGTTGCTTACGTGTTGTGTGTGTGTGTGTGTGTGTGTGTGTGTGTGTGTGTGTGTGTGTGTGTGTGTGTGTGTGTGTGTGTGTGTGTGTGTGTGTGTGTGTGTGTGTGTGTGTGTGTGTGTGTGTGTGTGTGTGTGTGTGTGTGTGTGTGTGTGTGTGTCCGTCTGTTACGAAATTCGTAGAGCGTGTTCCAGCCAGTGTTCTAAGCCCAAATTTTGCATAGCGCATGCTCCCTTTATGAAAGTTTAACATGCAAAGCACGAGTACATTCGTTGAGTGGATCCCTCAGAAATTGCGCGCCAAGCGGATCCACCTGGCTTCTGTCTCGCAAAATTGGGTCCGTATAACCACTTTTTGCAAAGTCGTGGGTGTGTTTGGTTAGCAAATGTGCAAACGATGGACTTTAGCCCAAAACGTGGTTAAAAGTTTACTACATAACGAAAACGGCGTTAAAAAGAATTGGTTGCGTAAATGGTCAATTTGCCAAGATTCTAGCCAAGCATTTCAGAGGATTTTCGCACAGAGATGTAGCTCACGATTACTATTGCCTTTATGGAGACTACTAAGCAATGACAAATTCAAAAGCCTATTCAAATTTGCGTTTGTCTTCCTGTGAAAAGTTTCATCCACGCGAAATCACCGATCTCACGTGAAAAAGCTTCTTAAATGAGTAGTTGTTTACATTTTTTCGTGGTAGTCGGCATAGCGCGGTGAGTTGTGCCACAATTCACGCAATGGCCCTTGACTTTTCGCGAGAGTATGCAAAATTATTGTGGGCCGCACGGTCTTTTGCAAGAACCGCACAGCCCTTGCAAAGGAGTTTCGCAAGCACCCCAAACTAAAAAGAGTTTGTGCGCCTACTGATAAATTGGCCAGCGCTCGCTGGGAGAGATTATTTGACGACCGCTAGCAGAAATTTCCGTATTGCTGCTTGCTGGCAGTACATGCGACGGTTAAGGAAGTACCGCAGGCTAAAGGTTTGGCCACACTAAAAATTCCGCTGACCGCCTACAAAAAAGCGCGAGTTTGTGGACCGCCTGCCCAGGCGATTATCTAAGCACTATGATAATGAGGCGGAGATATCGCAAAAGGCTTCCATGCGGATGATTAATAGACTTGTAATTTCTAGTGCCAAATAGTAGGTCATCTAAATTTAAGCGAAGCGCAAGTCTTACATTGTTAAAAAGGAAATGTGCAAAGCTTTATTCTAAAAATTATCTTCGCTTCAATCTGATGAATGCCAAAATCATCTTTAGTCGTTCGCCATTCTTGCGATCTGCAGTGGTTCGCTTAGCAGAAAACGATCCTTATTCGGAGTGGCCTTTCCAGCTGAGATGTAAACACTTTTGAAGGGGATTGAACGTTGAATTTAAATCTGTTTTCCTCATCTGCGCAGCGTCTCTGCTCAGACAATCGCCAGGCGTAGGCGACCATGCTGTTTATAGGCGGCACCAGAAAAATAATTCGTTGATTTCTGCGGTCCGCTTGCAGATATTCGGAAGAATGTTGGTCACCTTTTAGACGAGCGATCAAACAACAATCGCGGCTTTTTTGCGGATTTATTGCGGCGCAGCGGCCGCATTATCGCGGACCGCGGAAATATGTAAAATTGTTAATGGCTGCACGATCCTTTGTGAAAGACCGCACAGCCCGTAGGTACCTTGCATTGAGAGAAAGTACCCCAATTCGGAAGCTTTAACCCAACGATGAAAACTCTGTCATAGAGCGTTACCTTCGCTCGCTGTATGCCCGAAAGTGGTAACAAGAGTCAGAACGCTTGCTAAAAATTAGCCATCGCCGGCTTGGCTGAGAGAAGTTATTTGACTAACACTCACACTAACACTTTGACTAACACAGCTCAAGATTTGGCCACGCCCTAAAATTCTGTTACCCCTCTGCAAGAGGAGAGTTTACAATCCGCCTGCCGCGGCGATCATCTGAGTGGGTGAGAAGGTGCAAGCGGTTTGCGAATCTAAAAGCTGATCAGAGTAAGATCAATGGCGACAATTTTTCCAAATGCAGGTGGAATGATGGCGAGCACGTGATAGCAAGCAGGAATTTTTCTTTTGATAAAAAAGTACAGCCACCAGTGTTTCATTTGAATTCAAAAGAGTTCACTATATATGTCTCTTTCTAATTACGCAATTCAAAGACTCGCTACAATTCCCATAAGTCCTTGTGCAGAGGCGTTCCGCAGATAATAGATGCAGACTTGAAATCAGTTTTGATGGCCTTCAAAGAGGTGTGCATTATACTTTGGACCGAGTCGAAAAAATATTCGAGTGTTCGAAAAAAGTATTCGATGAAATCGATACTAACGGATAATTTCGAAAACTAATAATGTAATATAATAATGTAATAACTAATAATGTAACTGATATTCGTAATCAGCATGCTCGTTTCCCCCTGTGCCAACTCCCACCCCCGTAGCTCAAACTTTGTAAAAGAATATACAGGGTGTCCCAAAAGTCTTGTAGCCTTTTTTCTGATAGAAGCAGAACGGAACAACATAGGGATATAAAACTTGATGTATACATTATTCAAAAAGTAGCAAATACATCACAGCATTCGAATTTCGTGGTAGCATCTTTCCTTGATAGCGGAAGCCTACTGTTGGCGATTACCACTGCCGAGGCACGCAGGCAGTCATCATCAATTTTGTCCCAGATTTTCATGAAAATAAATCCCATCGCTTAGAAAATGTGCTGTATGATAGAGAAAGCTTTTAGCTACATCTTACCATGATTAGAAAAATTTGTGAGTTTTATGGTTGAATTTACGGAAATTTGAATGCAGGCATGTGTAAATCTCATGGTGGAGTTTTGGACACATTTGCGGAAAATGAAAACAGAAAATCGGCTACAATGTGTTCCAAAACCAAGTTCGTCATCCGTGTTGCATTAGATTCCTATCTAGAAAACATGCGAAAAGGGTATTACTCCAAATTCAGTGACTGCTGCAATTCTACAGATTTGAAACTAATTCCAAAGACATAGTTGCAGTGGCACGCATTAAAAATTTCCAGTTTTTTTCGCCACTCTTGCCGAAATAGACTTTTTGAACGCAGCCATTATAGTGATAGTTGTGCAAAACCTCCTCTATATTGTGGATATAAATTTGCACCACTGTGTGCCAAATTTTTGCAGTAACGGAATAAATTTCAGACTTTTAGGAAATAGCTTTTTGCGTTTTGAGGTAGAAATGGTTTGATAATTTTATTCTTTTTCAGTCAAACATGAAGATCATTTTTTACCCCTAAGGATGTAGTTTACGAAGAATGATTGGATTATTCTGTGGTATAAATTTGAGATTAAAATCACCAGTAATTGTTGAGTTAAAGCAGTGCAAAATTAGGCTACAAGACTTATGGGACTCCCTGTAAAATCGACAAAACTAACAGATAATTTCGAACATGCTAACTACCCCCCCCCTATGCCAACTCCCAGCCCCGCAGAACAAACTCTACAAAAAATCGATAATATCGATGAATTATACTATTTGATTATTCATAATTTTTGATTTTCGAATATATCCAAACTCGGATATCTATTACTTTCAATAATTATTCGATTATTCGACATTTTCGTGTAATCGATACTTGACAGTGTCACATATTAAGTGCTATATCAGCAAACATCTTTTGCCGTTCAAATTGCTCACTGTATGGAGTCCTTCATTGCGCTACTTCGATCAAATTTTGTTTGAATATCCGACAAGTCAATGAAAAGTATTTTTTTATTTACAATGAATTTCTTGTCTTGATTAACTTCTTTGATTTTCGAATAAGTTCGTTATTCGATTATTCGAAATTTTTTCATTTCGAAAATATTCGATGTTCGACTAGTCGATAATTTTCACATTTCAAAAATGTTTGACATCGATCTATCGGAATGCTTGATTTTTCAAATTCGATGTTGGATATTCTTGATTTTCGAACAAATTTGATTATTCGAAAAAAATTTCGAGTATTCCGAAGTATAGTATGCATCACTTCCGAAAAGGCCCTTCTACCATGGATCTGTTAGGAACCCTGGAGCAGACGAACATCTACTTCAAAATTTGAAAGAGGCAGAGATGTGGCCGCTCAAATCGTAGCGGTTTTTTGTAGTGAAAGTGTTTGAATTGCGCGATGTAAGCGGGTAAACAAGTTTTTCCTTAACGAATCCATGTAATGTTTTGTATTCATCGCAATAGGAGAACTGATAACGACACGAAGATGATGAAGTCACCAAGTCCCCAAGCACCAAATCACTTTAAAAAACATGCTTCCTCTTTGATTCAATGCGAGAACAATATGCTCAGCAAATCAACAAGCTTTGTGTGAACATAGCACAACATTTGAATTCAACTTTTGCAGAATATGCAAAAGTTGGATATAAGTGTTGCACTTTGTTGTAAATAATCGTAGTGCCTATAAGAAAGGCCAACTCACAGAAAGTATGCAATAACAAGCCAAAGATTCGGTTATTTTTCGTATTCTACAGATAATGAAAAACCGATATTCATTCGGTTGAAAGAAAGTGCGAATCCTAGCGAAAGAAGAGGACATGCCTACTATGGCCAAACAAATTTGCAAATTCCATACCTGTGCTCCAGACAAGCAGAACCTTTTGCAGAAAGTAAGTCTTTGTATGCGATTGAGATAATAAATTTTGAAATTTTGAAAAAAAATATACTTCATCTGTACTTACTACTATACTTCGTCTGCCAATTATTTGTCTTCTATACACTTGAAGATGATTCTTTAGTTGTTATGTTTTTTTTGCCAAATTCCATCGCTTACACGTTAAGTACATTGAAAGAAGTGGCGAGGATTGAAGAACAAGTGTTTTCAAACTGAACATGGTTAAAGGCAAAAAACCTTGCGTTATTGCTCAAGTTCCTCTCCTGCTAAAAACTACTTTTTGCAAGATAACATTTTCACTTATCGCTGTGTGAATTGACTTACATTTATGAATGAATTGAAAACGTTTACCACATACAGGGTGTCCCAAAAGTATGCATACACTGTTTAATCGTAAATAACTCTGTTGTCATGAAGTATTTCGAGAAGCTTGAGGAACCATTCTGTAGAGCGACGTTCGACTTCGATTTACAGCATGGAACGAATCATCAATCACTCTTCATTACTGTGGGGTTACGGTAAGAACTTTGCGAAGCATTTTCGGAAGTTAAAAGCGATTTTTTGTCTCAGAAGGAAAACCAAACAAGCCAAAAACTCTTGTACTGGACTAGTCGAAGTCGCTGATTCTAGATATGACGTTTGCACTCCACTGTAATGCTTCTTTTACAAATTATTCTAGGTTCGAGGTAAAACCTGTTTTTCCGATGTTTATCAAAAGTGCAATTACACCATTAAAAAAGCTCGAAAAACTGGTAGAAAGCTGTGCAGTGAAATAAGCGCGTCCAAAAACCTTGCTACACGAAATTCCAGACTTTTTGGGATTTTTTTCATTAAAAGCTTATTTCCACAACGGCGCTGTATTTTGAAAGTTATATCATAATCCTACAATAATGAAGAGCGATAGATATTTGTTCCATACAATCTAAGTTGAACCTCGCTCTACAGAATGGTATCTCAAACTTCTTGAAAGACTTCATGACAAGAGAGTTTTTTTTACGATCAAACAGTGGTTATTTTGGGACACCCTGTATAATGATCGTTTCAATTACGAGATTCGAGTGCTACAAGGTTCAACAGATTTAACAAACTGATTAACTTTTTTCATTGATGTATCATCAGAAGTCTTCATGATTGAGTGCAGAAGCAAAACTGCTGACGTAACCATGTTTCTACAACGGTACCTTAGAAAAATAATCTCATGGAAACTTTTTAATTTTTTCGTGTCATATTTCAAAACTTTTCTTCCTATCCATTTAACTGAGGGCAAAGAGTAAGAGTTAACAAATCGGTTAAGGAAAGCAGATGAGACTATTTGAACGGATCAATTTTGTCTGCTGCTTTGCTATCACTTTCCGAGTTAATTTTAAACGATGTATAGCTGAATTCAGTCAAATCAATCTAAAGTTCTTTAATAATTATACGTGGAATGTAATTGGCTTCTAATTCTGCACGCTACCGTCTCCAAGTTACATTGAAGGCGAGTTCAAGTATGTATTGACTCTAGCGTCTTCCATGCATCACTTGCTATCATAATTTATATTAAATCGTGCTTAGCCTTGTTACTGCGTTCTTATCGGACTATGCATCTCGTTTGTATACAAGCTCACCTCAGGTCGCCACAGCCACGAAGTGTAAAATATGAATCGGTAAACAAAAGAAGTGGGTTCTGGAAAAACCATGCACATGAGGGAAGGGTAACAGGGAAGAGATAAGACAGCGTCAAGCAGATTTGTACCGTAGGATCAAAAATTCCAGAATTATATAAACCGAAGAAGTAAAACGAATCTTGTAGATATATTAAAATTTGGTCACGGTCAGTAAAATTGAAGGAAATTGAAAGAAAGCGGGAAAGTGTTCTTCTCACAAGGAAAGTAATTCCCACTTGATATGAAATGCATACCATGTAGAGCACTTTTGAACACAGACTCAAATCTGCGCTCCGTATCAGCGGAATGCTTCTCTAGAGGGAATTATGGACCGTCAAAATCCCAAGCTTGGGCCGTTCAAAAACGTGTAGTAATCAAGGTGTTGACAATGGAAACGAGTGATCATTGGTTTGGAGTGGACAGCAAACTTTTTGCATTTTAATTGTGAGTGCACATTCGAAATTATTAGGTTGGCTAATAAATAAGTTCGTTTTGACATGCAAATTCAGAGCTTCATAACAATTCATGTAACAGCTATTCAGCTAAGATTTTTTCGTGAAAAGATAGCCTCAAGCCTCTACTCTTAAATCTTAAATAAACAAAATTTCATGTCACCAAAAAATGACAGTTACAACCTTATATGGTCAGACTTGTAGAAAAACGCTTTTTTGACTTTCTAGCTCTCGTTCTCAGCCTGCAGTGAGTACACAGGCGTGTAATTTGATGGCTGGATACATACAGCCTTTGGCTGAGTGGCGAACCACAATAGAGATTGTGACCTGCTGTTTTTGAATTTCTGTAGTCAAAACTTTGAAAATTTCCAGGCATTTGCGCGTGAGGGTTAAATTTTGGGCATTCCAGATAACTCGAATTCGGCCATCTATGGCCATGCAAATGGTTGTAAATTCAGAAATTTGTTGTGAGGGTAGCGAATCAACACTTTACACCTGACTTCAGTTCGTTTTTGGGAGCGTGTTTTTTCGAAATTTTGAGGAAAAAATCTGATCAATTTTCTTTCCTTTACCATTTCATTATCACAAAAATTATTGTTGAGAAAACAGAGTCAACCATTCGATTCTCCTTGATTTGCTCTTTCCAGTGGTATCACATATACACACTAAAACTGATTTGTGACAATTCTACAAACCGCTAAATACGACCGAACTTATTTTTTAGCCAACCTAATATTTGCAAGCGCCTGCAGTGTGATGTGCAGCAGACTTATGCTGTTTTCATCCTGAAGTTGCTGCGCTTCGTCCATCTTGTAATGCCATTTTACCTCCGTACATGAATTTTTTGTTTACAGAATTTAAGCAAGTAGCAAGCAGACACTTTCAGAAAGGTTTTGTAGAGATTGATTATGCAAGAACTTTACGCGAGTGCTTGATGATTTCTAATCAATATCGAATTTGCACAAAAAATGCAAAAGCGCTTGCTATCACATTTCAGCCGTTGATCACTCGTTTTTTATGCCAGCACTTACACACCACTGGAAATAGCTCACAGTGACAAATCCTCGTAGTGAATGGCCCAAAACTGGGACTTTCAAGCGTCCTTTGAGTATCGGTTTGTATGCACATGATCACCTCAGGTCAACATAGCCCACGAAGTTGTATAAAACGATGAATAAAAAGGTGAACAATAAAACATAGATTTTGGAGAAGCCGTGATGATGAAGGGGTGAACGAGAAGGTTAACATGTTATGCAGAATTTTCCTATACAGGATGTCCTAAAAAAATGTGAGCACCGTTTGATCGTTAACAACTCTCTTGCTTGAATGTCTTTCGCCGAGCTTGAGGTAACAATTTGTAGAGCGAGGTTCAACTTAGATTTACAGTATGGAGCGAGTCATCAATCACCCTTCACTACCGCAGGATCACGGGGGAATTTCGAGAAGGGTTTTGAGAATTTAATAGCGACTTTTGCCTCAGAAGGATTACCAAATCAACCAGAAACTCTTGTACTGGATTACAATCGGGGTCGCTAATTGAGTATGAAATTTGCACTTCACTGCAATGCTTCTTTCTCAAGTTACCTCAGGTAACAAGTGTTTTTGCAATGTCTGTCAGAAGTGTGATTACATCATTGAAACAGCTCAAGAAAGTGGTAAAAATAAGTGTTGCGGAATCAACACGTCAGAAAATCTTGTTACACAAATTTCCAACGTTCTTGACATTTGTTTCATCAGAAGGACTATTTCACAATGGCGCTCTGTGCTGGAAGTTTGTACCCTAATCCCACGTTGATGAAGAGTGATGTAGATGATTCGCTTCACATTCTAAGTTGAACCTCCTCTAAGAATGGTACAATCGTCCTCACCATTAGTCGCCCGGTGGACGAATTCGAATTTGAACAGCAGACCGTTCGCGGCGGAGCGCGGCACCTCAGCCCTTAATTGAAGATTATGCAGGTTTCCTTATCATTTTTCTTGGCATTTGTTCAATCTTTGTAATTTAGGATATGTTCGCGAGCAAAATTGACCATGTTGTTGTTGTCGAGCGTTATTTCCGCTATGCTCATTACTTCAACTCTGTATAGAGAGTGCTGTGAGCTATACTTAGGGGAATTCAAAATTTTTCGAATATCGAATAATATTCAAAAATCAAATTTTCGAATATTTGGTTATCGCATATTATTCGAGAATGGACATTTTCGAATCGAATAATATTCGAATATCGAATATCATTCGATATTCGAATTTTGATTATTATTCGGTTCTCGAATATTATTCGATTTTCGAACACTGTTCAAGAGTTATGTCAGTGAGTCTGCCTGTGAAAGACCAAGACATCTAACAAAGAACTGTTTCATGTAAGTATCAAGAAAAGACACTTTTTATGTTGAAATTTGCGATGAAGATACGGTTTAGTGGTAAAGAGACTTAAAACCTAAATCGTTCTCCTTGACGGTTGTGAAAAGATTTTTGAAACCCTGAGAAAGACTAAAGCTCCTCAAGAGTTGTGGATTGGTATACAGGGCTTCCCAGCAGTATGTAGGTCTGTGTGCTGACATCAAATTAGAATTACAGTATGAAGCGATTTTCGATTGCTTCCACTTTCAAAAGTTATCGTAGAAAAATTAAAAAGGGTTTGAGACTCTGAAGAGTCAAGAGCCGTTTCCCCAGGAAATGGAATGGGCCGAAAGTCTTACATCAGACTTCTAAACACACTCATCATATACAGAGTTTGCACTTAATCGTGATGTTTTACAACTTATGCCAGATACACTGTAACAAACGCCTTTCAAAAACGTAATTGCACATTTGAAAAGCTTGAAAACTCGTACGTATTGAAATCAGCATACGTAAAAACTCTGCTATACAAATAGATCATTTTTTGGAGGGTGGGG